ATGTAATATATATATATATATATATATATATATATATATATATATATAATGTGCATATGTAGGTATATGCACAATATATAAATATTTATTTTATATCTGCCCGATGTGGCGATTTGTATATACATCGTCCGAAATGGACAATAAAGACTTCTGTTGCACCCTCTGAATGCATCGCAAAATGTATCTCGCAAACGTAAATGTGTCACTAACTTGCTGAATTGACAGCACGCATTGTTCCTTCATAGAAATGTGATGGAATACAAAGCGCAAATTAATCGTAGGGGAGAATGGGGGGATTACGGACACATGTATATCCCTGTTCCTCAGCTTCCCTCAAATTCCGCTATCGTGTCACGTGAATTAACGCGACGCGAGCAGTCACCAGCAAGTACTCACAGCAGGACGTCGCACGCTATTTCCAAGGTAAGTCACGAAATAGTATTTTGGCCATTTTCTTCTCTCTCTAATATTTCACTGTTTTGTTTTCTATGTCTCTGTTGTTTAAACGGTGATATTGTTATCTGTTTTTATCTTGAGAAATTATTATTTATTTAAGAATAATATTGTGTATATAAATTCTGATTATTTTAAGGTTATGTTTAATTTAGCTATTTCGCTTTAGATTAGGTTAGATTGGGGTAATTTCAGACGCATTATTGGGGGTATTAACAGACGTCCGATTTTCCGGTTTCAGTCCATCAGTAACTTCCACACAAATAGACACAAACAGTCAATCCAGTAATGCACAATTTGTACCTGATACTAGTCATATTGATACTACATCAGTACAGAACGACTCAGTAACAGTAAGGGACCTGGTGGATGTTTCTGTAATTTCAGTCAAAGCTAATAATAAGTCTAGGAAAAGAAAACATTCAGAAATCTTGACAAGTACATCTAATAAAGGAAAATTAGAAGAGAAAAATCAGAAAAAAGAATCAAGAATAGAGGCAGAGAAAATCAAACAAGAGACAATCAAAAAGAAGAGAAAGTGCAATGAAAAAGAAAACATGTGCTTTTTAATAAAAAACCAAAGATTAAGAAACCAAAACATGTAAAAAATTTAAAAGGTTTCGACAAAAGTGCTGACAAGGAAGATGAATACTTCTGCATATTTTGTAATGAAAAGTACATGTCTCCACCTATAGAGGACTAGATAATGTATCTATTATGTCTGAAATGGACACATGAGGGCTGCACTGGTGGCAGTTCATCAAATGGCTACATTTGTGATATATGTAGTAATAAATAAACATGTTTCGTAATTATCACGACCTGTCCGTATTTACTTGAGCATTTGTCCGTTAATACCCCATAGACTTTGGGTAAATACGGACAGCAAGGGTTTTATTTCTGATAAAAAGTTCATATTGTTTATAATAATTTTTATAATGTTACCTTAATCCTAAAGACTAATAAATAAAGGTTGACCTCCAATGAATAAAAACTGATTATATTCTGAACTCTTCCTTCTATTTCAGTTTAATTTTATGTGTCCGTATATCTCCCACTCTCCCCTATATCCATCGCCTCGCCTGTCTGTTTGTCGATAAAAAAAATAGTAAATATTCACTGATGATACATCAATTTTAAGTGCAGCACTGAAATCAGTAATTCACTGATTCACTACTTTAAAGAATATAATTAAAAGATTAAAACGGCACGATTATATGGAAGTAGATATTTCGAGTAATATTTTTATTTATATGAATCAAAACGATAAGAAAAAAATTTTTTTAAGTGACTATTAAATATAAGAAAAAAATTATTAAATTTTTGAAATTGTTAAATATGATTTTACTGATCATAACAATTTATTTTTGTAGAAAGAAGATGACTTGCACAAAGCGGTAAAATTAACTACGAGAGAAAGGAGATTTATAAAATTTGCGTCGGTGGCGTACGATGGTCAATTGTATATGACACCGCAGGATTTTCTTGACAGCGTCATTGATGCCGAACCTCGACGTACGTAACTCACATTTATTTACTTTAATAAATATCCGTTTTAATCTTGGCAACAATAATTATTCAAACGTGTATTCGATTAGAATAATGAATTAAAGTTACATCATTCCAACTTCAATAATATAAAATTAAAAAATAAAGAAATGCGTAGTTTTATGATAATTTAATAGAATTTCAAGTTCTTATTGTTTATTATTCTCTTCGAATCTTTCGTCGTAAATTTATTTTACTTTATTCAAAGGACAAAGCAATGCTTCGATTTTTATATCATCGAATATTATTTCTGTCGTTTCTCTCTCTGTCTTAAATAAATATATGTTTTTGGCGCAGAAATATTAAAGACGTGTTACGATTATTTGTGCATTTCAATAAACCAGTCTCAAAGCGACACACGCAACTTTAATGATATTTTCAGCGAGATTAAAGAGACGCGTGCTGACCGATCAAGAGCTCGAAGTGATGAGAAATTCGACTTCTTCACTACGCCATGGAAGCACATATATGTTTCGAAATTTGCGGGACAAAGGTAAAGATATAAAATAAAGTATTATACAATATCTATAAGAGAGAAAAATTAATATTGTTTCTAAGTAACAACTAAATAATAATAGAAATAATCATCTACAGATGATGATTAGAATATCGGATAAAATATGTATACAAAAGGCAATTGTGTTGAATAAGAATAACATAGTATATTCGTGCGTTTATAACGCCAATAAATAAAAACCTCATGATTCGAGTTACCGTAAAATCTACGATTGATAAGTTTCCATAAATTTAGGTACGAACTTCAAGTGTCGCAGTCCACAACTCGGAGCTTTCTATCGAAATATGCAATTCGACGAGAAAAACGAGACGTGCGATAACCAGAGCTATCGATTGCGATCGACGTGTACAGTACCTGTACTTACGACATTTATAGTGCTTATCCGACATAAGTTTCCGCCACCCACGTGAAACACTCGTCACGACAGACAGGGCTGTATCATTAGTTTAATGATGAGGTAGCACTTCTCACGGCGGCGGTGGCTGTGTTTTCTCCTTGCTCTTTGCGAGTGCACCGCACGTTCGTCGCGCTAATGGAAATGCAAATAATCGACAGACGTAAGGGATGCCACGATGAAGGAGAGGAGGCCAGTTTCACACCTCTCTTCAATAATAACGAGTTCCTCGTCCCTGTGTCTGCCGCCACGACTGCGTTTCTCTCTTTTTTTCCCCTTTTCGCGTGAGTGCGAGACGGAATTAACCGGCGCAGATAAACGGGTCCGCTTTTAAGGACACTCGGTAGAGTCCGAGGCCGTTACAATTAAGAACAACTTAAGAAGATTGGGCCCTATCGACAAGAAACCACCATAACGACTGGGATGGCGTCATCGTCATCTCATGTAACAATATATCTGAGCATTCATTGATTCAGGCGATCGTAATCGTATATTTAGTTGTTACACTTCCTTATTGTGTCAACGACACGCGCTGCTTTTCGCAACATTACGATAGTTATTTCCTTGATCACTTTGAGCTAAATCTCATTCTCTAAAAATTACGAGTATCGTAAATCAATTTTTCTTAAATAATATGCATACATTCATAACTCTCTCTGATAACAAATTCAAGTTTAATTTATTTAATTTAAAAATTAGACGACATATATATATATATATTCACAAATATTTGTCATTATATGATGTGAAAGATATTTTTAGATATAAAAACAAGTATCATCAATAAGTACATATTTATGTCAGTTAAATTTGCTTTAATACTTATATTAATCTAAATTTCTGACAACGAACATATTTAATACTAACAAAATAAAACAACAAATTTATATACATGGAACGAACATCATCTAATCAATAAACTGACTCTGATTTCTTTACTTTCTGTTAACTGTTAATTTTCTAACCATGGAATTATTTTCTGCTTTCGAAGCCACGAATTTTATAAGGTGGCTACGATCTGTAAAGTAGCCTTCTTGTTATGTTACATACGAGCTAAACTGTGCCGCAAGGGAGTACGTTTAAAATCAGAATTTAGATGCGTCCACGGGTCTCGCTTTTGCTATTAAACTCTAAATTATTGATCCTCCCCAAAGGCGATGGTTCTCTCGAAGAATACCTGAAATCTCGTGAGGCGTGTCTAACGTGTTTGACATATTCTACTTCTAGATGTCGTAAACGCGTTTAATACTGCAGACCTCTCGTTATCCTTAAATGCGGATTAGCGCGGGAAAATTAGGGAAGAATTCGACGAAATTACGAGAATTTATGAGACATCGAGATAAAATCATGTGGAATATAACGATTTGCCTTCCGACTCGTCTAGATTTTTATAACGTCTCGATCTAGTATTACAGGAAAAATATCTAATCATGAAATTAAATATAGAAATTTTGATTGTTATTAATTCGATATAAATATACATTATTTAAAAAGACAATAAATATCATTTCTGCAAAATCAATATTGACGTGTGCGCGAAATATACGAAACTACTTGATGCGACAATAAACGTTTTTTATAATTTTAAAAGGAAGGATAAAATTGACAATCTCCTATTTCTAATTTATGAATAAACAATATATAAAATATTAATATATAAAATAATATGTAATGAAATATCAAATAATAGATACAATACACAGTTATTTTAACTAAACGTTAACTTTTTTAATAGCTTGCTTAATCACATCGTTTCACGATTCTAAATTGCTCACGTTTTTATTTTCAGGAATTATTTCTTACACGGAGTACCTGTTTCTTCTATCCATCCTGACGAGTAAGTTTTCCGCCGGTAGCTTTAGATATATTCACAAGGCAAATTGCGAGTTAAATGCACAAAACGCTTAAATGAAACGCAACGATTGATCGCGGTGTTGGGTACACAAACCATATGTTATGGAAGAAAAAAATCGGCTAATGTGATGCCGCGTTCATCTTTTTCACGTAAAAGCAATGGCCGTTATCCGCTTACATACTTGGGAAGCTGTAACATATACACAGAACGTTCAATTTATTTAATGTACTCGGCACAAATCGTTGTATGATAATTTTAATAGTACTGGGAACATACATATTAAATAATAGTGCACATTCTTACATAAAAGCATTTTACACTACTCAGAATTTATGAAAAATATTGTCCTATATTTTGGTCACTCTTTCTTTCCGCGAATTTTTTGATAAATTTGGAATAAATTTGCCTTCAACAAAAATTAAATTACATATTTTTAAAAACTTATGATATTTACATACATAATTAATTTTAAAGGAACAATTTTAAGATTAAAATAAATGTTAATAATTTTTTTTTTATTTAAAAATCTATCACAAATTGTTCCAAAGAATTCTTAGATAAAAATGTATTGCGTTTTATCTAAGAAGCTCTATATGTGTACACACATTTCGTGCACAAAAAGTTTTAAAGTTAGATATAAATATTATCCGCTATAAAAATGTTTTGTTAATGTTGAACACCTTAATTTTAATGCTATAAATTTACGGCGATAACTGATCTCGTTACAGAGCCGAAAACTGGTTTCCAAATCGCCTTCAATATGTTCGATACCGATGGAAACGAGAGAGTCGACAAAACTGAATTTCTTGTGGTAAGATAGCTGCATCGCATGCGAGCACGTTTTCAGTAATTGTGGATGCAAACACATCGTTAGAACCATTAATAAAAACTGTTTATTAATTGTTTCTGTTCTATTTTACAAAATAAAACTTAAGTTTGCTTCTTTTTAATAGCAGCAAAATAAAGCACGAATATTTTTTTACAAGCTATTAAATCAATGTAGAATTTATTTCCAATGAGCAAAAATAAAGTAAAATTATTTAAACAATAACATTGCACATTCTGAATATATTTTTTTTCATTAGCATTACTTGTTTGGTTATATTTCATTTGCTATCTTTTCTTATTTAATAATATATATCTCAAACTAGAAAATCGATTTAATAATATATATCTCAAACTAGCAAATCTGCAATATGCAAATATATTATTTAATATATTTGAAATATCATATAAATACATAAACACATTTAGGAATCAATACTGGAATAATAGAAGAAAAATATCCTCTCAAATATATATTTATATCTTCAAATATTATAAATCTTTTCAAAATTGTAAGATGTGCAAGGTTATCGAATGGAATTTCACTGAACTCTAATTTATGTGAGCTAACTGGAACATTTAGGGGACGGATGTACCAAGAAAAAACTTCTGTCGCTACAAAACTGTTATACTAATTATCGATTAATTAGCATCAACATCATTTTTGTTATTCTCACAGATTCGTCGTTTACTTGGCGGTAGCTTAAAAGAACGGGACCTTGACGAGCCAACAAAACGTGCAGTGAGTTTTAGAAAAGTTTCATAAAACTTTTCCTCAATCAGAACGATGTCAGAAGTCGACTAATGTTTAGAAAATCAATATAAGGATGCCGTTATATCTCTTTCAGCTATGAAATCATCTAACGGCTGTATAATTTATTATTCCATTTACTGCCTTGAGCTATTTTTTGAAGACTTTTAAAAATATATTATGCATATTTAACAATTGCATTTATTATTTATATGTAAATATTAATTGATTTCTTCAGAATACTTATATTGCTAAGATAAAAAGCTCCTTTTTCAAAATCTTTTAATTTAATAAAGTTTTGGAATGTTACATTTCAAAGAAAAATGTATCATATGTTAATTATTTATTAATATATGTATTATATTTTTTTAATTTATTTAACATTTACCATCATTTATAATTACTATTTTTTATTGTAAATTATATCTTTTGCTATAATTTTATTTAACTTTTTTATTAATTTTATAATGCATTTTTTTCTGTCCAAAGCTAACGCTTCTTTTATTTATTTTAATAAATTAGTTACGTGCCATAATTACTCCGAGCGAAGAGAATCTAGGCAAGGCAAAACTTCGCAAAACTCATCCGAATAAATCAAATGAAATCGTCACAAATTCTTATGTAAGTTTGCAAATATGTAAAATGCTGTAAATCAATACATGTTGTTTAATATTCATTTAATAAATTTTTTTTTTTTCAAAACATTTCTTATTTAATATTTTAATTTTAATATTATACGGCTTTCAAATACTTCCTATATGTTATATCTTTATGTTTATATTATTTCATATAAAATAACAACATAAATTGTATAAAATAACTTCATATCTTACCAATAACGTCAAATTTATTGAAACCATTTAATAAACCAATTGCAATCTATGTTGTATTATCACCATATACAATTTTTTAACTATTTTAAGATATAAACAATATATTTAAAATATATGTATATTAATCTATCTTTATAGGTATACACGCAGATCTAGTATAGTCAAATGTATATACAATCATCATCACTAATCTGTTTCAAATTTTATTAATATCGATATTCAATCATTAGTATGCAGCTTACCAGTTCCATCGAAAACACCTGTGCTCTAATATGTCAATAACCGCCGCTCTAACACTATTTGACACTTATTTCAGATATACTAATACTGGACGCCGGAATACTGCCATCATTTTGCCTTTGTATCATGTAATCCCGGCACGTGTGTCTATTAGTAAAAAGTGTGTTAACATCACGTCGATCTGTCGCAATAGTAATTGTTTCCTTTCACACTTTCGTCTTTGGTACAGATGGAGAAGATATTCAGTCACGCTTGGAGGGGCCGTCATGGATGCGAAACTAAAGAGGAATTAGAACAATTACAAGAACGTCAGAGAACGCCAGAAGAAATTCAAGGTCAATTCATCGATGACGATCAGGTATTGTGACATTACTTACGCACATTTTTAAATAAAATGGAGTAAGAAGTTCGAATAAATAAAAATCAGTAACAGAATCCATCTAGATAGAAAAAAATCAACAATGACCAACGTTTAAATAGTCTAACGAAGATGTCAATTAATTTCTTGTAATTAAAAGATCTAAGGCTTTCATTTAATTTTTATAATAAATGTATCCAGGTAGATACATTATATATTTAAGTCAACAGAAGTTTTTAATATGAGTATTTATTTCAGTATTTACTTTGTATGTACACAGGGTTTGCAACGACGTCACGCTGTGGATACTACTTTGATGATACACTTTTTCGGCAAAGATGGTACCAATGAATTAAGATACGATGATTTCAAGCACTTCATGGAGAATTTACAACATGAAGTATTAGAATTGGAATTCCACGAATTCAGCAAGGGACACAACACAATTAACGAATTGGATTTCGCTAAAATTTTGTTACGATACACGTACCTCGAACCTAACGAGTTAGTTGAATAATTATGAAAGCTATGTTCTCGACATAATGTTTTAATCACGAGAAACGACGAACTATTAACATTTAAAAAATTATGATATAAGCAAGATATTCAAATTATATAGTGTCTTATATACATATGTATTTTATTATAAAACTGTTTTATGTATTTTTGTTTTGTATTGAACCAAGTGGCACCCAAATTTTTCAATTTAAATATTTTTCAATTTACATCCTAAATGTATTTCCTAATTAATTTAAAAGTTAAAAACAATTAAATTCATAGATACGATAAGTACTTGGACAGAATGTTGGATCGAGCAGACTTGCATATTGGTATCACATTCGAGGAATTCCGGCGTTTCTATCAATTTCTGAACAATCTGGATGATTTTTCGATAGCGATGCGAATGTATACATTGGCTGATCATCCTATATCCAAAGGTAAAGAATTAATAATAAAAATCTTAATATTAATTTATTATACGTCAAAGTATTCATTACGATATTAAATTAACCAATTTTATTTCCCTTAAATGTAAATTGTTTCAAACGTGATAACCTTTTGTTACATTTTTTAAATATTGTTCCTTTTTCTAGATGAATTTCAACGCGCAGTAAAGATATGCACGGGAAAGATGCTTTCGACTCACATAATCGATACAGTCTTTGCACTATTCGATGTGGATGGAGACGGCCAATTGTCTTATAAGGAATTCATAGCAATTATGAAAGATCGACTGCACAGAGGTTTTAAGGTAAGGCCTCGCGGATTTATACAATGGAAATATACATATAGTATCTCTTTCGAAGAACTACTTTAGAAGAGGTGTATATCTCGTATGAAATGAAGCCGTCAAAATAACGCTTGCTACAAAACAGAAGAGACCTGTAAGAATGGTTGTCATTTCTCAGGCTTACATACTATATTTTCAGATAATTTATAGAATGAAATAGAAATGTAACAACCACTGTTGATTAATGCAAAATAACTCGATCTTTTACAGTCTCAACAACGCAATGAGGGTTGGGAGGCCTTCAAATTCTGCGTGAAACAAGAAATGAAAGCACCTTGAAGAAAGAATTATGATGAAATACATAAAAATGTGAAGATGCAAATGAAAATAATAGCACTCACTAATTATGTAAAAAGTTATAATACTCTTGAGTAACTACTAGTAATAATTAGTAGTTACTATTAGTAACTATAGTAATAATTGTTTCAAATAATTCGAGTATTACAATATTTGGATATATTTATAGTCCTAATATAAACATCATATAAGATGTATAAAAAATGAATATGTACACTGAGAAACCCATTTAGTTGAATCAATTAATTAATTCTTGTTTGGATATGGGCAAACAAACCTTGGTTGATTCAACTAAATGGGTTTCTCAGTGTAGAGAAATTCAATTGTGATATAATTTATATAGGTAACGTGTTATGAAGAAAAATATTTTTCGGCGAAAAATGTGTGAATTTCTGTTAGAACATAAATATTGATATATACTTTGAAGTTACCTAAGTAATTAAGAATTCAGATTATATTTTTTTTTGCATGTAATGCTGACACCATTATGATGCTAATCCGTTTTATAATCCGTGTTAAATTAAATAATGATTTATAAATTCAAGAATGGTATATTTTAAGCAGTTAATTTAAAAAGTTCTTAATAAAATATGAAAATCTGCATAGCAATTAATTTACTTATGGAAACTAAAGAAATATATTTTTTAATCTAATCTTTTATCTTAATTAAATATTTATTGTTTATAGAAATGCTTTGTTATATGAAATAAATCATTATTTAAATATAATAAGATATATATAATTATTGTTAGTATTAATTATAAAAAGTCATAAAACAATTTTAAACGAGTTAAAAACGAATATTAGTGTTTCTACAAATGTCTCAAGGAATATAGCGCACACACACACACACACAAATCGAAATTATTCAAATATTAGAACGCATAAAATAGGGAATAAATCCTGCACATTTAATTTTCGGAATGGGTTGTTATAAACATATAGAGGGGCTTACACTAACATCCTACTCAGCCCGTCACAAAAAAAAATTTTTTTAGTTAAACAAGAGTAAATTTTTTTTCTTTGTAGATTCATAAAGCATAGAAATAGTACAAAAATTAAGAATCCTTTCGTGTCCTTACTTTCATATTACAAGATACAATTCATCCTACATGCGATGGTCTAATTTTATGTTTGTGCTGCCGACTGCGCGTCGCAATTGTTCGTTATCAGTCATCGCACCGATTGTACCGGTACCGGTATGCTCTCGTGAACCAACCCGACGAAAAAAGGCGTGCCAAGGCGCAGACTCGGAACGCGATATCAGACCACTTCGTTACGCACGGAGATTCCGTACAAAGCCGGCTAGTTTCAGAATTGTGTAATTACTGTCTAAGAATTCAGCTTTCCAGCAGTCTTAAGTTATCGCGAAAATACCATATAATTGCACAAAATTCTTTTGTCAGCTAAATGTTCCTATTCATAATGGTTAAAATATTTTTATTATCACACAGTATTAATTATTTAATATATGTAATAATTTTTCGAGATTTCATAAATAAAAGTAAAAATACCATAACATCACCAAAATACGTTATTTTATGTACAAGATGTCCCATCACAGCTATAAGTTCGTAAATAAATCTGGATGTAATTCAATTCTTTTAAATATTTAGAATTGTAACGCAATTTTTATATACATATACGAAAAGAGTGGTTTTGTTAAGATATTAAAAAATTTAGCTAGATAAAAATATGAAAATAACTTTATTGAAACATCAAAATAATTACATAGAACACTTAAACGTTAACAATATTGCAAAAAGTTATAACATTCTAACAACCAGTTTAAACGTCCCTATACATAATTATTTTGATGGTCCAAATATAATTATTTTCAGATCTGTATCTACCTAAATTTTTAGATACTTCAACAAAATCGTCCTTCATGTGAATATTAAAAAATTGACTTCTTTCTGATTATGAGTGTTTTTGTAGATGCTTAAATGAATCAGATTTTCCAACTTTAAATCAGTACTTTAATACTTCCTTTTGTTTATCGCTGTTTTTTGGCAGTGGGATTAGTCAGTCAATCGAAAGCTACAGGATGAAAGAACGGAGTGGGAACGATTGGCGAGCCGTGCCTAAAACTACGCCCATCGCAACTATCAGAACTAAAGTATCGTCAGTACATATTACCACCGCAGTTTCGCAGTTCGTGAGAAGGGAGAGGATCGCGCGCGGCACTCTCGTGCATGTTTCAGTCGAGTTTCGTAGTGCTCATCAGCACTACGCGACGTCAATCAACCTGTCGAAGTTTAGCAGTGTGAAACCACGTGCAACATGGGTGTATGCAAGATAGTTAAATGGTTCAAGTAAGTTGTTATTCATATTAAATTGAAAATGCAAGAGAAAAGTGCCAAAAAGTGTTGGAAAAAATGTTGGTGGAAATAGAGAAAATGTATCACAATTTCCAAGTTTGATGTTCTTCATGCATTTGATTTGAATCCATTTTTCGATTTATTAAAATTATGATAGTTGCTCGAGTTTATTTTTAATAATTACATGGACTGCTTTACATCTCAATTCATTTTCGGCACTTGCGTTTTCAAATATTTATTGTAGAATTAAGTACTTATTTGCTGAAGTTATGCTTTGTTCATAACAATATCTAGAGCAAAATCGATTGTCACAAAAACGTATTGTGTTGTGATGATCCTATCAGTAGCAATATGCCATTATATAGATACCAAAATAGATTAAGAGTACAAGATTCTTATAAATGATATATAGCAATGTAAACTTATTTTATTAACGTGAGAGATATCATAATTCATTACAAAAGAAATTAAATTTTTTAAAATTTTATCATATTTTTAACGCATCAAATCAAACTTCTGACATCTATTTATTATCTCTTTTATTGATGAATTGTGCAATTTAAAAAAAAAACTAATGTACTTTGCTTTAAGTATTCTGAATATTTGTTATACCATTTCCATCACTATCTTCATATATTTTAAAAAAGAGAGTAATTTGGATAATTTTCTGATTTAAGAAAACAGTATCTAACTATCTACTTTGTATCGACGTATGCTCGATATGAGGTGAAGGTCGCTGATACTGATATCAAATAAATTGATAAAAGCGCCAAATAATTAATCAAAATTTATTACATATAACGAATTATTAAATAACGCTAGTATCTATACTAAAAAATAATTTGGCATCCACAGTGTTATTTCTTTCGTTACCTATTACGCATTTAAATTTTTCACTACAAATTATAAAAAGAAGCACATAACAATATAAAACAATATACTCTATATAAAACGAATAGAATCATCAGACCTAACAAATTAAACTCAAAATATCTTTTGCAACGAAATACTCTTATATATATCATTTAAAATAATGTACTTCTTTATATCTATCAAAACAATTTGTTTCTATTACAATTAATTTTGTATGTTTTACGAAAAATCCTTTATTAGGCGCTTTCAGAAGTCTCTTTCAGAAATGAATTCAGGAAATATTTCTCTGAAAAATACAATGGCAACATGAACTGAATTTATAATCCCTATTCTATCGAGCTCGATATCTACGAACGTTATCGAACGGAAGAGAAATGCATCGCGATAATCGCGATAGATATCTCAATTCAAATTTACATAAAGATAATTAAGTGATATCAGCAGTTCGCTCAATCGATGCTGCGCCTGCATGAGAAAGAAAGACGTGTATTGGGTACTGCATGAGAAAGAAAGACGTGTATTGGGTATACGATATATGAGTAACATAAGCGGAAGAACATGTGCACGCGCGGGAGAGATTCTACGATTTGCACTTCCGCATGAGTTTCTCTTCTCCGTAGCGCAACATCTTGATTGCTTTCCATCTCGTGAAAATGTTCCGAAAAATTCGAGCGTATCGAAGACACAGGCTAATTACGGTCGAAAGAATAGCGGATGGGCCCCCTGTGGATTTGGGCAATGGAGATTGTACCGTTAACTAGACATTTTAACCGACCGTGTACTCGCAGCTCGTAATGACTGCCATTATCTCTTCGTCGAGCGGCGCGAGATCGTGCGGCATTACCGTACTTAGTCCGTACCGCTAAAAAATTGCACTGCTGGTATTTAAAGCCGCGAATTGCGCCGGCGACAAGTAAAAAGAAACAGCCATTATCCTATTGAGCTAGGGTAACAAAGAAAGCCGTGAAGTTTGCGAATATAGAGGTGATGAAAAACTTTATCTAAACCGGGACAAATGCAATCTTGTATAAACTGTCCTACAATGACTGATCTTGACTTTAATACTATAATCTTGTGCAAATTAATGTGAATAAAAGGTAATTTTTAGAGATTTATATACATTTATTATATAAAAATGTTTATTACCATATTTTTGAACATATTAAATACTAAAAAAATATTGTAATAAACACTTGTTAATCTTTTTCACGTAATAAAAGTACATAAATCTACACTGTTAAATTTGATAGGGTCAAATTAACTCAATGCGAGTCCTCACTGCTCCTACTCAATAATATCGTTATTTTTTACTAAAATAATGATTAAATTTGACACTATATAATGTTAAATTAATACTGTATAGTGTCAAATATAACCATTGTTTTAGTAAAAAAATAATGATATTATTGAGTAGGAGCAGTGGCGGACTCGCATTGAGTTAATTTGACCCTATAAAATTTAACAGTGTAAAAATTATCTCACAAAAATAACGTCCTTGAATAAAACAAAAAAATCGCTTATTTTGATTTATAAAAACAAAATGGTTGATACATATCTTTTCTATTTTGGAAGAAATATTATAATTGTCAAGTCTATACTGATGATATTAGCAGATATCGCCAATATATCATTAAATATTAAATTTTTACAGCTGTACATAAAATTTGATATAGTTCTTAGAGATATTACATAAATGGATTTCTACGGCGAATGATCTTGTACGTAAATTTATGGTATCTTCCTATATAAACTTTCAGCTGGTGCTCAATGAGGCATATAAACGATCAGCACAGAGACGTTGTAACTTCATAAATAATCACATATTACTATTTTCTATAA